AGGGCGCTGGCCTACGGACCGCGGGTCGGCCGGCCGGTTCGGCGCGCTCCCAGCACGCCGAACCCTGGAGCGGCGCTCTGTCCGCACCTGCAGAGCCTCCCGACGCCGCTTCCCAGGCCTGCCCCCACTGGTCCTGATTCAGGGCCGGGGACCCGCGCCGGTGTGGAAATCACTGGGGTAATGGGAGAGTGTGCTTGAGCAAAGGTTTTCGAGTGTGAGAACTCCAGGGCGCGCATGCCGGCTTCCTCTGTGCTGCCCTGGTTTGTCTGCCTCAAAGATGGTGGGCTTGTAGCTTTGTAGGTCTGGGGCTCTACTGTGTTCAGTAGGAACCTTGGCAGCTCGGCTGCTAACCGAAAGGTTGGCAGGTCCAACCCACCCAGTGGTGCTGTGGAAGAAAGGCCTGGCATGGCGATCTGCTTCTGTAAAGATTACCGGCAAGAAAACCATATGGGGCAGTTCTACTCTACCACATGAGGTTGCTGGGAGTCGAATCGACTCAACAGCACCTAGCAACAACGCTGTGTTCAGTGGCAGGGACATGGTTTGAGTGTCATTTGTACTCATTTCTCAAGGTCGCGAGAAGTGGTCGCCTCTCCTCTGTAGTGTCAGGCAGTGGCCATGTGCAGAAGCTGGGCCCTTGCCACCTGCCTGAGTCTGCACAGTTCTTTGACCAATTTCAAGTCAGTCTCATTTTTTTCCTCTCCCTGTAGACAATTACTGATAAATTTTATATCTTTGGCAAACATCCAGTTCAATGAACATTTCCAGCAAATGGTGCTGGAACAGTTGGACATCCATATGCCAAAAACAAGAACCTCCACCCCATCCTTCCTACCATTGACCAGAATTATCTTGAAATGGATCATAGACCTAAATGTAAAATCTAAAACTGTAAAACTTCTAGAGGAAGACATAGGAGAAAATCTTTGTGACCTTGAGTTAGACAAAAATTTCTTCAATACCGAGAAGTTATATTAATAATGTTTGATGGAGATGGTCTTAGCGTCAGCTTTTTAGGCTGTGTGAATCCCTGTGACTGCTTCGAGGTGGTAAGTTACAGTTAGAAGAGTCTGATGATAAGTGAAGACACGTGAGTGAGCGGTAGGTGGTATTACTGTGGTGAGTACATTCAGCTTGGTAGCATTTAATCCAGACGTCTTGGAGGATGGCCAAGGGCTCTGGAGAAAGATAGAGCTGGGCGTGAATGTGGCAATATTTTGCCAATGCCTGTCAAGTTTCAGTAGCTCAAAGAACAAGAGAAAACAGACAACCAGACCAGTGGCCGTGGAGTAGAACTGCACTCCAGAGGGTTTTCATGGCTGTGACCTTTCAGAAGCAAATCGCCAGGCCTTTCTTCTGAGGCACCTCTGGGTGGGCTCAAACTGCCAGTTTTTCGGTTATTAGCTGAATGCTTAAGCGCTTGCACCACCCAGGGGCTTCAAGAACAGGAGAAGGGGGTGTAATAGCTTTTATCTAGGAGGTAGCCTTGGTGGCGCAGTGGTTAAGAGCTCGGCTGCTAACCAAGAGCTTGGCAGTTCAGATCCACCAGCCTCTCCTTGGACACCCTATGGGACAGTTCTACTCTGTCCTGTAGAGTCGCTATGAGTCAGAATCGACTCTATGGCAATGGGTTTGGTTTGGTGTTTTGTTTTTTTGTAGTAAGTTAAAGGAGAAATTTCTGGATGAAGTAGGTTTTGAAAGCAAATATGTTGCCCTTCCATGTTATCTCATTGTAGCACAATCCTTTGCTAAAGGGCATGGTTAATCTGGATCAGAAGTTCATTGCTAAGTCAATGTTGGATTTCTGCTAAAAGTACTGTCTGCACTGTTAGGTGAAATTCACTCAGACATTGAAGTGTGAATGTTTAGATGTTTAAGTATGAAGCAGACTCAAGTTTATTTGGTTTTGAGTATATTATAACTAAGACTTGCTAATTAGAAAACACGAGGTCTTAAAAACCACTTGGTCTGAAGTCTGGCAATTGCTTATACAGCTACGTTTTGTGTTTTTAATACGTAGACTGTAAAAGATTAACTTCTTGACTTTTCTCTTTCACTGAACTGTGCAGGTACGGGGGTTGATTATACAGTGTTTGCTGTACCAGGTACTGTGCTGGTGGTCTGGTTTTTACTGTGTGATCCTAGAGAAGAGAAACAGAGGGGCAAAAGGAAGAGAAAATTGACTGAGTTCATGTAAGGGGCTTCTCCCCACATCTCTCCCTGAGCCGGGACCAGAAATCTGCTTTCCTGTCCCTCAGTGGCACAAATGGTTAAGCGTTCGACTGACTGAAAGGTTGGCATTCTAACCCTCCCAGAGGCACCTCAGAAGAAAGGCCTAGTGATCTGCTTCCAGAAGATCACAGCTTTGAAAACCTTGTGGAGTGCAGTTCTACTCTGATACACCTGGGGTAATCGTGAGTCGGAATGGACTCCATGGCAACTGGTTTGTTTTTCTTTCTTTTGATTGTGGCTCTTCCACGCTATTAAAATGCTACCTTATCAGACAGAGATTCCTGATGTTACTTTTTCACCCCTAAATCATATCAGATATTCAGGGAGATGCCCAGCTTCACTCAAGACCATCAAAATCCTATGCTCACTTCCTAGGACAGCATGGACGGTGGCGTCTGAAAGTCTCCATTATAACATTTTACCACGGTCAGTTAATCTGCTGGCAGGGTCATTAAGATCTTCAAGACCCAAGCTTCTGGTTATCTACTGCTCTGTAACAAATTACCGCAGAATGTAACAGCTTAAAACAATAGTCATTTATTTTGCTCGATAGCGCTTAACAGCTACAAGGATGGAAGGCTCATTTCTGCTCCATGTGGTGGCAGCTGGGACAGCTAACTGGGGCTGGAGGCTCCACAGCCAACATGGCTCACTTGTGTTGGTACTATGTTGCTTGGGAGCTTGGTTAAGAACCTCAGTTCCCCTTGCTGTGGTCCTATCCTTGGGGCTACTTGAGCTTCCTCATAGCATGGAAGCTGAGTTCTAAGAGCAAGTGTTCCAAAAGACAGGAAGAAAGAGCTGCTAGTCGTAAGGCCTGGGCCCAGAAGTGGGCACATTATTGCTTCTGTCACATTCTATTGGTCAGTCAGTCACAGAGTTCTCCCAGATTCAAGGGGAGTAGACATAGGCCCCACTTCTTTTTTTTTTTTTTTTTTTAAGTAAAAAGTTTTATTTGGCTTATATTCAAAAGGACAAAAGTGGGAAGCAGACAAGCATGCTGCCAGAGCTAGAATGTCTGCCCGAATTCAAGGAAATACCACAGAACAGACAAAAGTAGGAAAACGGACAAGCATGCTTAGGCCCCACTTCTTGATGGGGAAAAGTGTTAAAAAGAGTTTGTGGCCATCTTTTAACGACCACACCCGTTCATTGTTGACTTGCTTAAACTCTGAAACGTTGTTATTTGGGGATCAGTAAACGTCTTCTACGTGGACAGCTGATGAATGCTACCTTCTATCCACAGTTTTTAAAAGACCAAGAATAAAGATCAGATGTGATCGTCTTCATGACTAGAAGCAGGAATAGTTTTGGAAAAAATATTGCCACAGTGATGGTATTCTCTGTCCTCCCCGACTGCTAGTCTTATGGGGGCTGAGGTTCCTGAGGAAAAATAGACCACAGAGTATAATTTCTTTTTGGATAAACAGTCATAAACTAGACCAGGGGTCAGCACACCTTTTCCGTAAAAGGCCAGATAGTAAATACGTGAGGCTTGGCAGACCGTGTGTCCCCTGTTGCTGCTCTTCTTCTTCGTTCCCTTCTCCTTTAAAAGTGTAAAAACCATTTGTATTATTTTTCTATTGCTGCCATAACAAATTACCTCAAACTTGGTGGTTTAAGACAACACACATTTGTTGTCTTACAGTTCTGTAGGTTAGAAGTCCAACATGGGTCGGCAGGGCTGTATTTCCTTGCCTTTTCCAGCTTCTGGAAGCCGCCCGCATTCCTTGACTCATGGCCCCTTCCTCCCTTTTCAAAGCCTGCATCCCTCTTCACTTCTAAGGACCCTTGTGATGGCATTGGGCCTACCCGGAAAATCTACAATCATGTCTCTATTTTAAGATCAGCTGATTAGCAGCCTTAATTCCCTTTTGCCATGTAAACAAACATTGACAGCTTCTGGGGATTGGGATGTGGACCTATTTTAAAAAACTCAAACCAAACCCTTTGCCATCTAGTCAATTCCAACTCATAGCGACCCTGTAGGACAGAGTAGAACTGCCCCAAAGGGTTTCCAAGGCTGTAATCTTTATGGGAGCAGACTGCCACATCTTTCTCCAGTGGAGTGGCTGGTGGGTTCAAACTGCCGACCTTTCGGTTAGCAGCCGAGCGCTTAAACACTGTGCCACCAGGGCTCCTTGTGGACCTGTTTCCAAAAAAACCAAACCTGTTGCCGTCGAGTTGATTCCGACTCACAGCGGCCCTATAGGACAGAGTAGAGCTGCCCCATAGGGTTTCCAAGGAGCAGCTGGTGGATTCGAACTACTGACCTCTTGGTTAGCAGCCAAGCCCTTAACCACTGTGCCACCAGGGCTCCGTGGACCTATTTAGGGGGTCATTATTCTGCCTGCCACACGTGTTAACTCATGGGCCGAACAGAAACAGGCTGTGGGCAGGAGTTTTTGGATCCCTGAGCTGTAAAATACTGTGGTTTTCAAATCCACTTCATCCTACAGTTGATGCGATATTCACAAAGGAATTATATTTCACTCCTTAGAGCTTGACGTTGGTGTCATACCGTTTCCA